GAATGAACATAGCCTAGTCCTAATTTATTTCTGGGGTGGAAGGGGAAAATGACAAATTTATGGCTTAAAAAGACCAGATATTTTATTGAGCTTTGCAGTGTGTGTGTGTTTGGTATGTATATGAGTGTGTGTATCTCTGTGTGTGTGTATGTGTGTGTGTATACATATATTATATGCACCCGCACACATAGCATACATAAAAGTTTGAAATGCTTCATTTTCCTTTGCAATGCATTATTATATTTCTACCACCCACCTTGTATAATTTCCAATTCTTGTTCCTAAAAATACAGAGGTTTTCTTCATGCACTGTTGTCTCTATTTGAAACAATTTGCAGGCAGCAGGCAATTCCACCCACCACAAAAAAGACAGATTCAGAGAACATAGAAGTTGATGGTCCAAACCCTTAAAACCTGTTTGATTTTACAATAGATGCTGTCTTTTCCTTACTATCTCAAATATGATAAAAACATAGAATGGCCTTAAGGAGCAGTATTAATCTACCCAAAGTGTAATTTAACATGGCCAGGAAGAATACATATTGCTCCTTTATTCCTCTTACTGTATTTTATATGGAAGGAACATAATTAAATGCAAGATAACCGTTAGTCATCACAATTATCTGATGCCACTGCAGGAAAAAAAAGGCAGATTGTTTTTAGACTTGGCCAAATTAAAAAGAAGTTTAAAATCCTTTTAAAACTATAAGGAAGGTGAATGTGAATTATTTAAATTGCAATCCTGCATACCGAATGTGGAAGTCATAAGGATTCAGAAGGACTTAGTTTGAAGAAACAGGGTAAAACAGTTTTCCAGGGCAATGTGACAGCTTTGTAGAATCCATAAGTCTTTCTTTGGGGGGAAGGCAAGGAAAGGGAAGTGAGTAATTTAGCTTACACATAGCCCTCAGCTTATGACCAGTTGCTTAGTGACAATTCAAAGTTTCAGTGGACCTCTCCAAAGCTACTCAAGACTTGCTGTTGAAGTTCCAACAGCTGCACCCATAGTCACATGACTCAATTTATGACAGTTACCAACCAGCTCACATTTATGGTCATTTGCAATGTCCATGAACACATGACTCAATTTATGACATTTTTTTGCTGTAAACCAATATCTACTTCCAGTTTAAAGCAAAAGTCGTCCAAAGGGTAAAATGGATTCACTTAATGAACACTCCATTCACATCACAACTGTCACAAAAATGTTTATAAAATCCTATGTGGTCACATAACAACGACTTAAGAAATGTAAATTGAGGACTACCTATAAAGCTTTGACATTTTGAATATACTGTTAGTTTTAATGAATAATTTTTCAACCAAATAAGCTAACATTACATATTAGTTCTCAGTACAGATGTGCAAAATAATTGGGACCAGAATTTCCGTTGCTAAGTGATGCAGTCATAAAAGTTTGAAGTCATGTAATGACATGTGATTGCATGCTTAGTGCTGGCATTCTCTGTTGCCATTGTTAAGCGAGGATGACAGGTCATTAAGTAAGTCCAGAAGGTTGCAACAAAGCCAGCAATAGATTTGTGGCTGCTGCTGGGTGGGGGAGGGTGTGCAGGTGGTGTGCAAGGCACTTGGATTGGAGTAACTGCTACCAGGTGAGGGAGAATATAATAATAATAATAATAATAATAATAATAATAATAATAATAATAATAAACAATAATAGTAAAGTTGGAAGGGACCTTGGAGGTCATCTAGTCCAACCCCCTGCTCAGGCAGGAAACCCTATACTAGACATGTCAAACACAAGGCCCGCAAAGTGGTTTCATGTGGCCCACGAAGCCATCCTGGAAGCAGTGAGGGAATGGCCCCTGCTGCCTTGACCCTTGCCCAGGCCAGCCGGGAGCCAATGTACAAATTTTGTGGTGGCCATCTTGGCATTTGCCCCGGTGGACCATGCCTTGGCACTTGCCTCGATCCCACCCCCTTCTGCCAGAGACCCTCAGATCTGTCTCACTCCTGCCCAGGCCCCCACAGGCACCCTTGACACAAATGATGTAGAACTGGCCACACCTATCCAGTAGGCCACACCCACTCCATCCACGCCCATCCAGTAGGCTGCACCCACTCTGGACACACCCACCTGGCCCCCAAGGGCAACCGCAATGCTGATGCGGCCCTCACTGAAATTGAGTTTAACACTCCTGCCCTATACCATTTCGGACAAATGGTTGTCTAATCTCTTCTTAAAAACCTCCAGTGTTGGAGCATTCACAGCTTCTGGAGGCAGGCTCTTCCACTGGTTAACTGTTCTAACTGTCAGGAAGTTTCTCCTTAGTTCTAGGTTGCTTCTCTCCTTCCTTAGTTTCCACCCGTTGCTTCTTGTCCTGCCTTCAGGTGCTTTGGAAAATAGCTTGACATCCTCTTCTTTGTGGCAGCCCCTGAGATATTGGAACACTGCTATCATGTCCTCCCTCATCCTTCTCTTCATTAAACTAGACATACCCAATTCCAGCAGTTGTGCCTTATATGTTTTAGCCTCCAGTCCCCTAATCATCTTTGTTGCTCTTCTCTGTACTCTTTCTAGAGTCTCAACATCTTTTTTACACCATGGTGACCAAAACTGGATGCAGTATTCCAAGTGTGGCCTTACTAAGGCATTGTAAAGTGGTATTAACACTTCACGTGATCTTGATTCTATCCCTCTGTTTATGCAACTTAGCACTGCGTTGGCCTTTTTGGCAGCTGCAGCACACTGCTGGCTCATATTTAGGTGATTGTCCACTAGGACTCCGAGGTCCCTCTCACAGTTACTACTATTGAGCAAGGTACCCCCTATACTATAGCTGTGCATTTGGTTTTTCTTGCCTAAATGTAGAACCTTGCTTTTTTCACCATTGAATTTCATTTTGTTAGATAGCGCCCAGTGTTCAAGTCTGTCCAGATCCTTCTGTATCTTAAGCCTGTCTTCTGGAGTGTTGGCTATTCCTGCCAGCTTGGTGTCGTCTGCAAATTTGATGAGTTCCCCATCTATCCCTTCGTCCAAATCGTTGATGAAGAAGTTGAAGAGCACTGGACCAAGAACAGAGCCCTGGGGCACCCCACTACACACTTCCCTCCATATAGATGCACTTCCATTGAGGACCACTCACTGAGTACGGCCGGTCAGCCAGCTATGGATTCATCTGGTGGTGGTGCTGTCTACCCCACATTTTTCTATCTTGTCAAGTAGTAGGTTGTGACCTACTTTATCAAATGCCTTACTGAAGTCCAAGTAAATTATGTCCACAGCATTCCTCTGATCCACTAATTTTGTCACTTGGTCAAAGAATGCAATAAGATTTGTCTGGCATGATCTATTTTTCACAAACCCATGTTGGCTTTTAGTAATTGGCTTTGTTTGCCTCTAGGTGTTCACTGATTCATTGTTTGATTATCTTTTCCAGGATCTTCCCAGGTATTGAGGTCAGGCTGATAGGTCTGTAATTTCCTGGGTCCATTTTTTTTCCCTTTTTTGTAGATGGGAACTACATCAGCTCTTTTCCAGTCCTCTGGTAGTTCCCCTGTGTTCCAGGATCTTTGAAAAATATAGTTCAGTAGTTCTGAGAGCACATCTGCCTGTTCCTTGAGAACATTGGGGTGTAATCCATCTGGTCCTGGAGATTTGAACTCGTCTAGGCTGGATAGGTGTTCACTTACCATTTTCTTGCCTATCTTAACTTGTGTTTCTATTCTGTTTTTTATGGCACTATTTTTGATAAGTTGGTCTGTTTTTTCCTTTGTGTAAAGACAGATGCAAAAAACAGTTAAATAGTTCTGCTTTCTCCCTGTTGCTTGTCACCTTCTTGCCACTTTCACCCACTAATGGACCAATAGTTTCCTTCACTTTTTTCTTCGTTTTTTACATGTTGAAAGAAGCTTTTTTTTGTTATTTTTGACTTTGGTCGCAAGCCTTAGTTCATTTTGAGCCTTGGCTTTCCTCACTTCATGTTTGGAGGCTTGGGCTATTTGCTGATATTCTGACTTAGTTATGTGCCCCTCTTTCCACTTTCTATACTTGTCCTTTTTACCTTTCAGTTTGTCAGAGAGCTCTTTATACAGCTAGAGAGTTCTTTATGAGAGCTGTTATTTTTCTCCTTTGTTGGTATTGTGCTAGAATGGGCTTTTATTATCTCATTTTTCAAAATTTCCCAAGCTTCTTGAGTTGTTTTCCCCTTGAGGATTCTCATCCATGGAATCCTTCCCAAGCCCTCTCTAAGTTTATTGAAATTAGCTCTCTTGAAGTCCAAGACTCTCGTTTGACTGTGTTCTATTGCTTGTGCTTCCATAATGTTGAATTCCAATATTGCATGATCACTTCCTCCCAGGGTTCCTATGGTTTCAACACCTTCTATCATTTCATCTCTGTTAGTGAGAAGTAGATCCAAAATGTCAAATCCCTAGTTCCCTTCTCTACTTTTTGGGAGACAAAGTTGTCTGCTAGGTTTGCCAGGGCAAGTCGCAACATTCCTTGCCAGCTTCCTGGTTAACTTTGCTTGTGTGATGTAGCAAGGAAGGTCACAAATTGTGATCACGTAACTGTTGGATGCTGAAACTCTCATTAGTGCAAGCCAGTTGCCAAGTGCCTAGATCAGGATCATGTAAAAGCAGGGGTGCTGGGACAGCCAGAACTTCAAAGACAAATTGTCAGTACCATTTGTTCAACACCACTGTAACCCCAGTCACTGAACAAGAGGTTGTTAAACAAGGACTACCTATAATGATTTCAGGGCTTAACCAAATAAATTAGACCTGCCTGAAATTTAATAATTATAAAATATTAACTATTTTTAAAAAGTGTAATATCTAGGCTAGAAGAAAAAGACCAAATATGCTTATGGTAGTTCAACGTGATGCTTTCTACTGAACATTTCTGTATACCATGTTTGCCAAAAGTGGCAGCATGAAAATATACTTTTAGAATTATAATATACTGAAAGAAAATAAGAAATCAACATGCATTGCAAATTAATTTCATAGCTAAAGAAGGAAACAACACTTACTTCAATACTGAAGTATCCTCTGTCAACATAGTCCCCTAGAAAAAGGTATCGTGTGTTGGCAGGAGAACCTCCCACTTCAAACAGCTTCATCAAGTCAAAGAATTGTCCATGGATATCGCCACAAACTGAAAGAAAATGATGGAAATAATAATTAATAATGCTATACATTATAGAACTATATTTATTTTCTAGATAGTAAGTGAAATGTAACTTAAATCTAGAATGTAGGATCTGGGCAATTTCTTTCTAACATATTACATCACTGATTTGCCATCAGGATGGGCAACTATGGCAACTTTCATAAAAGTGCCATAGTTGTCCACTCCTGATTTATGTTGACTACCAATAGCCTTCCAGTTTGCTATTCAAGATTCTTTAGCTGCTATGAAACATGGAATAAGAGAAGAACTATGAAACTGATTTACATCTATATCTATATGGATAGATGGCTCAGGCATAGGTGAAGCATATTGACTGCCTCAGGTTACAGATGTTATGAACAGACATTAGTGTCTTATAGAGACAGCCATAATGCCCTGCACCCATCTGCTTTCCAGATGTTAGACTATATTGTTCCATAAACTAGCATCCATGGTGTAAGATTCTTCAACGCTGGTGATGTGATAGTAAGATTCAACTTTCAGTTCAGTCAGCCTTTGAACATGGCCTGGGAAGGAGCACTATCTTGTTCTTGGGCTCAGACCATAACAAAATGCTGCTGACCAGGTCTATATTAAAAATCATTGGATAAGTTTCAAGGATTACAACTGCAATTAGAATGGAAGTTTATTCGGTCCATAATAACTTTTGATCAAGGAGATTTTGTAGCATTCTTCTAGCAACCAAAACAATAGTGGAATAAAAGGAGAAAATAAGGTTAGATATATGCCATGAGAAACAGTATATCAACTCTATTAAAAAAAAGTTGTTTGGTTAAATATTAGCAAGCTTCATTGAACTACTTTGTTCCATCAATCATTCAAAGTCATTTTCCACTTTGTAATTATAGTAGAACAGACTGCAGACTACAGAATGGCAGTAATAGAATTCTGATAAATTAATGCCAAGAATTCTTCAATAGCAGAATTCTATGAACATTTTATTTAATTATTTGATGTTAGATTATATTAGCTATAATAATATAAGATCATTTACATCTTACATCTTACTGAATCCTGAATTTTAATAATGTAGATTCAAATGATCAGCTTCTGTTCGCCTGGTATAACCAAATTTGGTTTGAAACTAGATTAGAAATTATTTGGGATTGTATATATATTACCTTTAATAATGAAGGAAATTAAGTCTAAAAACACACCAACTATCAATCTGTACATCTGCAAATATACATAAATATATATTCCTTTGCACTTCCCATTGTGTGATATAATTTAAGACACAGTCTTACCCAAATAAAAATATACTGATATGTCAAGATGTTTGGCCATTTTAAATTTAATATATTTAATAATTATTTTATATGAACTAATATAAAATAAGCTAGTTTATAGTATTAAAACATCTACATTTACATTTAGCACAAGTCATATACATCATTCAGGAAAAATACCGAAGGTAAATATTTCAAAAATCTTTTTTTAATTACATCAAAATATAATTCAATACACTATTTTGTTTTTAATAACTATTAAATTTCAAAAGAAAATAAAATACAAAATAACAACAAAAAAGGAAAGGAAAAAGTTAAAATATGAAAAAAGGGAGGGGGAGAAGTTTAAACAAAAATATATAAAAAAGAAGGAATTCTACCTCAGAATCCAGACAATCTGGTAATCTTTTAATCTAAATTAAACATAACATAAACATATCTAACTAAATATCCAATCATTAATTCAAAAATACTTATCATTATAAAACAAAATTATAAAATTAGTTCCTAATTTAAAAACAAACCTAAGCAAAATCTTATTAATTTATTTTATCTCTATACATTATATTACTTCACTAATGTAATCCTTTAAAAAAAAATCCCATACAGAATATCCAATCATTCTATTCATCCATCATAAAAATATCCACTTTTTATATTACATAAATCTCATTATAAGCACAGTTCACCATAAAATAATAAAACCCAAATATTAATCATTATAAAAATTATACCTTAACTGTAAAATATCATTAATATGTAAATCTCTACTAAAAATCTATTAATATGTAAATCTCTACTAAAATCTATTTTCTCATATAATCTCTTATCAAATATATATACTCACACCCTTAACAAATATCCATAATTAAATACACTCTTGAGCTATATAAGTAAGCATAAGAATGCAAGAGTATTAGTTTTTTTCTTTTAAGAAGGGTACGCTCATTCTCATTGAACACTGAATTCAAGAATGAAACAGCATTACAGAATTTGTCATGTACCCAAAAAAGTAAAGAAATATGAAAGCTTGATTGGATAATCACGGTATAGCACTGTATCAACATCTTGTGTGTAATATTAGTGGATATTAAACCTACTCTCTTCTGCTTTTTAAAACTATGGAATTTTAATAAACAAAATTTCTACCTATGCTTCCTGCTAAGACATTCAGATGTAACTCAGTTCTTATGCTACATTTTTACATTAATAGTCTTGCATGGACATTTCAATCCTCACCAGTCTCATATATTCATAGCTTATTTCAATTTTGTGGACATGGAGCAAGTCTTTAACTTGGACAACTATTAGCTATTCCTGCACTCAAAAAAACAAATAATCAATTCTTATCAGGTTTATTTATGAAAACCATGTGCTACTGCATGATAAATATGTCAATGTGTGATTTAGAATAAGAGAAACCATATTTATATAGTTGAAATTATGGTGTGGCAGAAGTGCTGTTAATAAGATAGCACTAAAATTTATCATACCATACCTATACCGTAGTCATATTTTATCTGAGTATTTTTTCACAGCATGGTGCCATATTATCTTGACTTATTCTCAAGGGAAAACTGCAAATGAACTCCCTCATCTTTGCCTTAATTGCTGGGATACCCTTGCTTGACATATATAAGAATTCAATGTACCAACCCTAGCAAAAACTCTATTGCTATGAACTTTATTCACACAGCAGCAAAGGCACGCTCCCTTCAGGAAGAATAGCTTATTTGGATTTTTTTTGTATCTCTGCCTAGGAAACTAGTTTAAAGCACTCTCAAATATAGATATTTTCATGCCAACTAGGTTCACATCCTATGCTGTAACAGTAATCCTCGATTTATAATCATTCATCCAGCAAGTGTTCAAAGTTACAATGACACTGAAAAAAGTGATTTATGACTAGACCTTACACTTATGTTCCTTGCATCAACCCTACGGTCATGTGGTCAAAACTTGGGCACTTGGCAACCTAGCTGAATTTATGACAATTGTAGTGTCCTGGGGTCATGTGATCATCATTTGCCACCTTCCCAGCTGGCTTCTGACAAGCAAAGTCAATGGTGGAAGTCAGATTCACTTTGCGATTGTGTGATTCACTTAACACCGTGGCACAAAAGGTAGGTGAATTGGGCATGGCTCACTTAACATCTGCTTAGGAACGGAAATTCTGGTCCCAAGTGTTTTTTGTTCCAATATTTATCTTTAATTATTCATTTCTAAATTTTGGTATCCAACATTTTGTACAAATATAATCAGTGGATGGAATCTACTCATGTGTTTCTGTTAATGGAATCAAGTTATGCTGAGGGATTTATTTTACAGAATCCCACAGCTGAAGGTACAGAGGAGTGAAAATTATTTATACAAGCCAGTTATAGCAGATGGAATATGTTACTCAAATCTTTATTTATTGCAACAATTTTTTAAAAAATGTTTAAAATGGTATGCCTTCCAATATTTATAGAAATATTTATAAACATCATGCTTCTGGAGACAGAAGGGAATAAGTATATACTTCTGATTTAAGGTTAAGTTATAATGGACATATACCAATGTGTACTTAACATATTAAAAAATATAACAGCAGAAAGGTGGTTTGTATACATATAAAGCTTTGGAGAAACAATCTAAATAAGAAAGTACTACAAAACTCAGTGGAAGATTGTCCCATTTTGATCTAAGCCACCTTTTAGTGCAGGATTTATTTATTTATTTTAAATTCCATTGTTGCTATGGAATTTTAGAAATGCTATGCCCCAGTTTCTTTTTTTTATTATTATTAAAAAGTTTTTATTTTCCTTTTATTCATACAAAATACAATTCAATTAAAATAAATTCCTAACCATTGGTACCGCCTGCCCATTCCCCCCAGGCTGCGTCCACCCTCTCTAATCCTTCCCTACTTCCCTCCTCTTTCTCTCCTCCCCTCCTACTCTCTTCCCCTCCCCTTCTCCTCTAACCATCCTACTTCCTCCCTACTCCTTCCTCCCCTCTCATCCCTCTCGCACACATGAACGCAGCATAGGGGAAATGCCCAAGCATTTACGATGACTATATTACCCAGCCACTCACCCACCCACCCACCCTCAACCCTCCCCCCTCGCTTTCCAGAGCAGAGTACAGGGTTATTAATAAACTGTCTATCCCAGTTTCAATCCATGTTGATAAATATGTGATAAATATCACATGTAAAAATAAAAATAAATATTTAAATATACCATAATACAAACATTATTAAAAACAGTTGGGATAACACCAGAAGTAGAATTTTCAAGTTGATCTTGGTAGTCAAGCAAAAATGTCTTGAGATTTTTCGTGCCAAGAAATGAAAGTTGAGATGGGAGCTATTTGGATCTGAAAAGATGTTCATGAGGAGCACATTTGCTACACCTTTCAGTGTTTCTTAAAGAAGCCATGCTTTTTCCAGGGCTTGTATCAATAGTAACCATGGTAACAATTCCTGGGGCTTCCTTAATTCAATATATTATTTTCTTGGGGCATCCTACTAGGAGAGGATACCATGCTTCACAGCACTGAAGGATATTTAAGTTCTAGGAAAATCAGTGGAGTCAAATTCTTCCTAATCCTCTCAGCAAAGACCAACAAATGACAATCAAAATATAAACAAAATCTGACTGAAATGGATGAAGAAAACTTAACTGTCTAGATCTGGTCAAACACTGCTTATGGAAGCAGCTCGCCATGGGACTACTATTGTTCAATTCTTCCTGGTCAT